TACTCTCTTCTGTTTTTGTTGGACTGAAATAGCAGCACAATGTGAAATGGGGTTTCAAGTGGGGGAAGTGCACTGCACCGGTTTGATTTAAAACAGGAAGGTTCATTTGCAAGGCCTGTGCAAGTTGACAGGCAATGTAAACACAAAAAGCAGCACATGGCTCGTGAAAGGCCCCCTCTATGCCTCCTTGTTCCCTGGAGAACAATAAACAAAGGGATATGTGTTGTCCTGGCATCTCACAGCTCCTTCTTAGCAGAGGGATGACTGAACAGCTACACTGAGCCTTTTACACCAGGTTGAGGAAGAAAACACTGGGCAGGTCTACTCAGACGTAATTGGCTGTCAGGATAGGAGACACAGTTTCCCCAAGCTGCATCCTTTCTGGGGTGAGGGGCACTCCCAAAATATGTGTGGAGGTAAGGCAAGAGGTGGCCTCAGTGGCTAAGACGCTGAGCTTGTTGATCCCAAGAGGTCGACAGTTCGGCAGTTTGAATCCCTAGTGCCGTGTAACAGAGTGAGCTCCCGTTACTTGTCCCAGCTTCTGCCAACCTAGTAGTTCGAAAACATGTAAAATTGCAAGTAGAAAAAAAGGAACCACCTTTGGTGGGAAAGTAACAGCATTCCGTGCGCCCTCGGCATTTAGTCATGCCAGCCACATGACCACAGAGACATCTTCGGACAGCGCCGGCTCTTCAGTTTTGAAACAGAGATGAGCACCGCCCCCTAGAGTTGGAAACAACTAGCACACATGTGGGGGGAACCTTTATCTTTACCTTAAGGCAAAAGGTAGTAGCTCTCCTTTCAAGAATGGAATTAATTTCTTAAAATTGAGGTACTCTCCAGGGGGAATGGGACAAATTGCTGCGGCCAACTCACCATGGCCAACTCACCATGGCCAACTCACCATGGCCAATTCATCATGGACAACTCGCTTCAAGACAACTGGCCATGTTGGCCATGGCAAGTTGGCCATGGCAAGTTGGCCATGGCAAATTGTCATAGACTGCTCTCCGGTCATGTATTTAGTAACATCCCACACCAGGTGGAAGACTGTTATGGAGAAGAAGCAAAGAACTTTCTGGTTTGCAAAGACTGCTATGGGGGAATGTCTGGGGCTGGGAATTTACATCCATCCCAGGAGTTTATTGTGGTTGTGGAAGGGAAGGACTCCCCACCTGTGCTACCCTGCCATTGCCTCTTCTCTTAACATCCCAGAGATGCTCTCCACATAGACAAGAACTCATGAAATTAGACAAAAAGCCCTGATTGTGCAGGTAGTCCTCAACTTGCGACCACAATTGAACCCAATGTTTCTGTGAAACATTTGTTAAGTGAGTTTTGTCCCATTTTTATGACCTTTCCTGCCACAGTTGCTAAGTGAATTATTGCAATTGTTAAGTTAGTAACCCAGTTATTAAGTGAATCTGGCTTCCCCACTGACTTTGTCCGAAGGTGGTCACGTGACACCCCCCCCCCAGAACCCTGCAAGCGTCATAAGTATGAGTCAGTTCCCAAGCATCAGAATTTTTATCACGTGATCATGGGAACACTGCTATGGTCATAAGTGTAAAACAAAAGGTCCTACTTCTTTTAATCCCGTGTTAACTTTGAATGATCACTAAATGAATTGTTGTAAGTCGAGGTCCACCTGTGCTCTGGCAAGTGGTTTTATTGGGAGCACGGTGGCCTAGCGACCAAGATGCTGTGATTGTCAACTGAAAGATTAGCAGTTAGAGACCCAAATACTGCAAGATGGGGTGAGCTCCCATTCCTGCCTCAGTTCCTGCCAGCCTAACAGTTCGAAAACGTGCAAACGCAAGTATATAAATAGGTACCACTTCAGCGTTCCGTGCACCTCTGCATATGAGCCCATAAAAGAATATTTGGACCAGTGTTTCTCAACCTTGGCGACTTTAAGTCCTGAGGACTTCAACTCCCAGAATTCCCCAGCCAGCTGTGCTGGCTGGGGGATTCTGGAAGTTGAAGTCCCCAGGACTTAAAGTCACCAAGGTTGAGAAACACTGATTTGGACAATGCTGCTGGCTCCTTTAGCTAGGAAATGGAGATGAACACTGCCCCCTAGAGTCAGACACAACTGGACAGGGGAAACCCTTAATCTTTGATGGCTTTAATCACTGCTTCTTTAATTTCCTTGAACTAAATGTTGATGGTATGTTCCATTTCTCCCTTTCCTTCCCTCTAGGGCATAAAGCAGATTGATCATTTTGGTTTTATATGTCGGGAATCCAGCGAACCTGGAATAAGCCAGTATGCTTGCTATGTCTTCCAGTGTGCGAGCGAATCTCTGGTAAGAATCTTCAAAATACCATTTGCACTGTCTGTTTGACACAGAACTGGGCAGGTGGGGGAGAGGAGATAAGGCTGTTTTCTGTTTCTGATCCATATGATCTTGGGAGTAGGCTTGATTGCTTCTTCAGTTGGAACTGGTCCATATCAGAGAGAGAAAAACAGAACCAATTCTCTCTGGTCAAAGATTTGGGTTGAAGGCAGAAATGGGGCTAGGGCCGTCTGAGAGTTACCAGCTGCCTTTGGATATCAGTGGGGCAGAAGAACATCTGGAGCCTGTTCCCAGCATGAGCATGCGCAGAGCTTCCAGGAGAAGGGACCAGCTAAGGAACAAGGGCCAACTCAGGAGTAAAGCCACAGATGGATGGTGAATGGCCCCTCCCCTAGGGAATAAAGAGGAGCGAAAGGGGAGGAGTTTGCAGGAGACAATAGGTTCAATTCATTAGGGTGAAGATCTGCTCCTGACTTCTTGCCAAGTATTGTCTGCTACAGAGTGGCGTTTGGAAGATATCG